GATAGAGTGGAAATGAAATGGCGTACACCTTGTTACTTACTACAGAAGTATTCTTAAAAATGGGCACTGTTGCGCTTGCTGGGGCCAAGGCGAAGTGTCGCGTGCAGCCGCTTAAATGCCTGTAGCTGCAGAAGCAGCTCGTGCCTACGCTGAGGCCTCCTCACTTTTGGGTCTGCTGAACCAACATTGGTTTGTCAGAGAAACCGCTACAGTCTCTACTCAAGGTCCGCCGGATAAAAGTTTTGAAGTCGACACCGGTTAAAGGCTAGGACAAGCAGGTAAGGGAAACAGACATGTCAAACTTTGCGTTCACACGTTCCAGATGGTGAAACACCGCATCCTCACCAAATAGTCCGCTGCATTACTTTTCTTAAAGGTTTGAGAAGGATTTCGGGGGGTCAATAAAAGAAAAGCGAACGTGGTGTCAGTTGTCCTCGCGTGTACGTCAGCGTCGACGGTCCTTCCAAATTATACTTTCTATATAAGTAAAAAGAAAAATGAAAAAACCACGGGCGTAATATCAAAATTGTACTCGGTTTATTCCAGTACGTCATGGATGCTTTGAATTACATCAGCCGTACCGCTTTTTACTGTTGATTTTAACACAGGAGGGAAATAACCTGCAACCACTACAGTAAAAAAGTTCTTAAAAGATACACACAAGTATAAGATGAGCAAAAACAACCTTTATCCAACACTGCCCATTATTAGAGGTGTGCCACTGTGCAAAGTTAAAATAAAAGAGTGCCAATGCGATCAGATAAATTTGAGCGGCATGACTGCTCTAAAAAAACAGAGTGAAAGTATTACGTGGAGTCCTTCATTCCAGCCGTTTTTAAAAAATTTGTGCGGGAACATGAAAAAATTAGCGTACTTCGAGGTATACTTAGGCTTCGTACAGATCACGTTAATCCGGTTAGTTTGGTTCCACAGCGCATTGGAGACTTTCATTAGTGAACCACGATAATAGTAGGTGCTGCAACAGAAGTAGAGGAGGAAAGGTTTGCCTATGGTCCAAATATTGCATTTTATACTGCAACTTAAGAGTCAGCCAGGTTAACAATCCAGTTCTTTTGCTCAGTGATGTTGCTGGTCACTGATAGTTCTGGCGCGTAGTCAAGACAGTCGATTCCCAGTGTGCGTTTGTCCACAAGTTGGGCATTGCACATTGCACATTGATGCTGCAACTTTGTTTTCCTGTTGCACTTGGGTCTCTCTTTTTAATCCTTCGCGGTCCATAGTTCTTTATTGATTCGCATATGATGTAGCTGTTCATCCTTTCATAACCAATTGTCGTCAAATGCTACGCAGCCCCTGACTTTCATTCACCATGTCTTGGGTTTCCCATGTGCTAAAATCCACATGAAATAAGGGCGACATTTGTAGCCTTGTGTGCTGTGATTAAGCTTTGTGAAGCTGCTAGAAAGTCACTGACTTTTTCAAGGATCTAGAGCGCATCACTTTTACAGTTCGCATAAAGGTAGTTTCAACTACTGGTAACAACAGTGCCAACAGTATAATCGTTTGATAAATGAAGGAGTTTATTTTCCAAGTCTTTATTGCACGTTTTCCAGTAATACCAAAGAGAGCGTAAAAGTTTTAAAGTTACAAGAAGTATTACTAAAAGCTGAATAACTGCAGGAGATCTGAGAGTCGAAATACGCTGTAAATATTGTCACTTGAAGCTGGGGACCTTACTTAATTTGACGTACACGCAACTACTATTACAGTATATGGCGAGCAAAAGTAGTAGATAGAAAAATAAGTGTAATAGGTACATGAAAATTATTTTAAGAGGCCAGAGATAACACTTTCCCAATTGGTAGCATAAAAAATAGGAAATATAATACAGTAAACCGGGAAAAACGAAGTAGGTGACTCGTGACTATTTTTACTGGTAGAAGAAAAGTTTCCCATCAAAGGTCGATTAACAATATTCAAACTGAAGGCGAATGCAATATTCTGCGGAAGGTTAAGTTTCAAGGAGCAAGATAAACAATCCATAAAGTCTGCCTGCAGTTAGAATAAATTAGCGATGGATTTCAAACGATGAAATTAATGACCTGCATTTTTTCCACCTTATATGCTGAGTAGTCTAGTTAAATAGTCTGCAGCCCATCAACAACTTAAGTTGACCGAGTGTAGCATTTCAATTCGCGCTGCGCAAGCAGATTTTGGGACATGCAACTTGAGAAAAATTAGGAGAACCAAAAAAATGCCGGGTGCTAAGAACTTCAGATTTTTTTTATTTCGCAATTGAAATACAATTGACTGGGTCATTTGATGACTGCACCATCGTTCGTATCTCAATAATTGGCTTCAGCATTTTGATTATTTTGTCATCGTCCTGTCGCTGATACAACATTTCGCCGTCAAAATCCACCAAACCATATTTTCGTGCTCGAATGAGCATCCCGACTAACTGGAATATAAAAGGTTAAGGTTTTTAAATAGTTATTTTTGAAGTTTTTGGGGTAGTTTGAAAAAATACCT